GCCCCAGGAACGGTTGAGGGCCACAGGGCTAACTACACTACAAACCAGGCATGACAGGGCGGATCTCATTGAAACTTTTAAAACTGAACAGTTTGGAGGATGTTGACCCAGACAACTTCTTCAGAAAGTGAGATGTAACACAAACAAGGAGCAACGAGTTCAAACTCAACAAACCACAATTGTTGGACTGAGAACAAGAGATGCTTGTTCACCCACAGGGTTAGTAACTCATGGAACCGCCTACCCGCCGACGCCGTAAATGCCAAAACTCTGCTGAACGGTTAAAGTATAACTGGAAAAAGATCATCAGGGCAAATAGGACCTTCGACAAGCCACCGGCTTCCTGTCCTCGTCGAGGCCACTAGAGTGTTATTGTGGCTATCAGGTAATATTCTGGTAAATAACATGTCCAAATGGCTCCCTTTTATTTATTTATTTATTTATTTATTTATTTATATACAAGAAGGTACATTGGGTTTACGAGAGTACATAGCATGATGTGTTTACATTCTTGTAAAGCCACTAGTCCGCGCAGCGTTACGGGCAGGTCCTTAATCTAACAGATAATATTAAGTTCGTAATTTCCAGCAAAATGTATGAAATGTTAACAGATACATTGTAAGAAAATTTGAGAGAGAGATTAGTAGGTATATTAAAGTACAATAGAGCACATTGAAAGCTCTGATTGAAAGCACTGATAGCTTGATTGATAATATGACAAAGATTAGTAGGCACGTTAAGCTCACTGATAGCACATATGAGATGACAACAATGTTTAATGGTAAAGTTGTAACGCTTAGTTATATGTGTTGAGGAGTTGCGTAGCACACAATATGTGCTCAATATAACAACCACGATAAAGATGATATCAGTGAATACAATGGTAAACTTATATGGCTCAGGTACACATTTTTTTTTTTTTTTGAGATATATAGAAGAGTTGTTACATGGTTGTAGAGCCACTAGTACGCGTAGCGTTTCGGGCAGGTCCCTGGAATACGATCCCCGCCGCGAAGAATCGTTGTTACAACCAAGTACACATTTTACTGTTGCGTTAAACAGAGGCTACAGTTAAGGATTTGCTCCCAGTAAATCCTCCCCGGCCAGGATACGAACCCCTGACAAAGCGCTCGCGGAACGCCAGGCGAGTGTCTTACCACTACACCACGGAGACTGTTTGTGCTACCCACTCCCCACATATTGGGGGAGTGGGTAGCACTAGATACAGATACAGCGGATACAGATTATAAACTCCCACTGGACAGCGAGCGAGTTTAAAGCACGAGGTAGGAAACTATGGAGATGAAATTAGGTACTTTTTGGTTTTATTTTTGAATAAGGCAAAAGTTGGACAGCTTTTCAATTCGTTAGGGAGTGAATTCCATAGACTAGGTCCCTTTACTTGCATAGAGTGTTTACACAGATTAAGTTTGACTCTGGGGATATCAAAGAGATATTTATGTGTGGTGATTATGTGTTCTATTACATCTGTCCAGGAAGTGCTTCAGAACAGGGTTTGCACTTAAGAATAGGGTTTTATAAATGTAATTGATACAAGAGAATGTGTGGAGTGAATTTATGGTTAGCATGTTTAGGGATTTATACAGAGAAGCTGAGTGCTGTCTGAAAGCAGAGTTTGTTATTGTTCTGATAGCAGATTACTGCTGGGTGGTGATGGGCTTGCGGTACTTCGCAGGGGTTGAACCCCATGCACAGATACCGTATGTAAGATAGGGATAGATAAGTGCATAATATAGTGAGAGGAGAGCAGAGTAAGATACATAATTCTGATCTTAGAGAATATACCAACTGTTTTAGAGACTTTCTTAGTTATGTGTTGTATGTGGGTGCTGAAGTTGAGTCTCTTGTCCAAGTATAGACCAAGGAACTTCCCATCATTTTTATTGTTGATGTTAACATTGTCTATCTACTTATTGCTCCTACACCAGCTTACATGGTGGGAGTGTACAGTGAGTACACAGTGTTAGTACAGTGTGAGTACACAGTGTGAGTACACAGTGTTAGTACACAGTGTTAGTACACAGTGTGAGTGTACAGTGAGTACACAGTGTTAGTACAGTGTGAGTACACAGTGTGAGTACACAGTGTTAGTACAGTGTGAGTACACAGTGTTAGTACACAGTGTGAGTGTACAGTGAGTACACAGTGTTAGTACACAGTGTTAGTACAATGTGAGTACACAGTGTTAGTACACAGTGTGAGTGTACAGTGAGTACACAGTGTTAGTACACAGTGTGAGTGTACAGTGAGTACACAGTGTTAGTACACAGTGTGAGTGTACAGTGAGTACACAGTGTTAGTACACAGTGTGAGTGTACAGTGAGTACACAGTGTTAGTACACAGTGTGAGTGTACAGTGTGAGTGTAAGAATGTACACAGGACTCTCCAGTACACAGTGTGAGTGTAAGAATGTACACAGGACTGGCCAGTACACAGTGTGAGTGTAAGAATGTACACAGGACTGGCCAGTACACAGTGTGAGTGTAAGAATGTACACAGGACTGGCCAGTACACAGTGTGAGTGTAAGAATGTACACAGGACTGGCCAGTACACAGTGTGAGTGTAAGAATGTACACAGGACTGACCAGTACACAGTGTGAGTGTAAGAATGTACACAGGACTGGCCAGTACACAGTGTGAGTGTAAGAATGTACACAGGACTGGCCAGTACACAGTGTGAGTGTAAGAATGTACACAGGACTGGCCAGTACACAGTGTGAGTGTAAGAATGTACACAGGACTCTCCAGTACACAGTGTGAGTGTAAGAATGTACACAGGACTGTCCAGTACACAGTGAGTGTAAGAATGTACACAGGACTCTCCAGTACACAGTGTGAGTGTAAGAATGTACACAGGACTGGCCAGTACACAGTGTGAGTGTAAGAATGTACACAGGACTCTCCAGTACACAGTGTGATTGTAAGAATGTACACAGGACTGGCCAGTACACAGTGTGAGTGTAAGAATGTACACAGGACTGTCCAGTACACAGTAAGTGTAAGAATGTACACAGGACTCTCCAGTACACAGTGTGAGTGTAAGAATGTACACAGGACTGGCCAGTACACAGTGTGAGTGTAAGAATGTACACAGGACTCTCCAGTACACAGTGTGAGTGTAAGAATGTACACAGGACTGACCAGTACACAGTGAGTGTAAGAATGTACACAGGACTGACCAGTACACAGTGTGAGTGTAAGAATGTACACAGGACTGGCCAGTACACAGTGTGAGTGTAAGAATGTACACAGGACTGGCCAGTACACAGTGAGTGTAAGAATGTACACAGGACTCTCCAGTACACAGTGTGTGTAAGAATGTACACAGGACTGACCAGTACACAGTGAGTGTAAGAATGTACACAGGACTGACCAGTACACAGTGTGTGTAAGAATGTACACAGGACTCTCCAGTACACAGTGTGAGTGTAAGAATGTACACAGGACTCTCCAGTACACAGTAAGTGTAAGAATGTACACAGGACTGGCCAGTACACAGTGTGAGTGTAAGAATGTACACAGGACTCTCCAGTACACAGTAAGTGTAAGAATGTACACAGGACTGGCCAGTACACAGTGTGAGTGTAAGAATGTACACAGGACTCTCCAGTACACAGTGTGAGTGTAAGAATGTACACAGGACTGACCAGTACACAGTGAGTGTAAGAATGTACACAGGACTCTCCAGTACACAGTGTGAGTGTAAGAATGTACACAGGACTGTCCAGTACACAGTGTGAGTGTAAGAATGTACACAGGACTCTCCAGTACACAGTGTGAGTGTAAGAATGTACACAGGACTGGCCAGTACACAGTAAGTGTAAGAATGTACACAGGACTGACCAGTACACAGTGAGTGTAAGAGTGTACACAGGACTGACCAGTACACAGTGTGAGTGTAAGAATGTACACAGGACTCTCCAGTACACAGTAAGTGTAAGAATGTACACAGGACTCTCCAGTACACAGTGTGAGTGTAAGAATGTACACAGGACTGGCCAGTACACAGTGAGTGTAAGAATGTACACAGGACTCTCCAGTACACAGTGTGAGTGTAAGAATGTACACAGGACTCTCCAGTACACAGTGTGAGTGTAAGAATGTACACAGGACTCTCCAGTACACAGTGTGAGTGTAAGAATGTATACAGGACTCTCCAGTACACAGTGTGAGTGTAAGAATGTACACAGGACTCTCCAGTACACAGTGTGAGTGTAAGAATGTACACAGGACTCTCCAGTACACAGTGTGAGTGTAAGAATGTACACAGGACTCTCCAGTACACAGTGTGAGTGTAAGAATGTACACAGGACTCTCCAGTACACAGTGTGAGTGTAAGAATGTACACAGGACTCTCCAGGGGCTTCCCAGAACCACATTTACTTAAAACATAAAAAAAACAGGAAAGATTTGCCAGAACCAATATGATCAATGCATCACAAGTTAACAACAACTAGGAATTGTGATTATATCTACATAATTAATTAATTATTATTAGGTAAAAGATTTATATAGTTAGTATTAATTGTTATTAATAGATAGTAAATAATTATATAATTCAAGAATTTGGAAACTCGAATGTGTTGTGATCGTATTGTTGATAAATACATATACAGTATAAATATATATATCGGTAAGTTTTATATTGCGGCTTATAGAAGAGTAAGAACACTGTGTCATTATTGTGATTTTGATGAAGTTTATTAAAGTTGAATACATGTAATATAATTGTTATATATTATAGAGGAGGTCCGTCTGGCAGCCCAGGGCAGGAGCTACGTATGTTTCTCTTCTAAACAAATATATTTTTTTAGTTTTATATCGGTATTTCTTATGTTTAGATATACACTTCTTTCTATATATTTTATATAAATGTTTATTGTTGAATCCAGTTATTAGAATGTATTAGGATAATGTAGATATGTAAATGAGTTGTGAAGAAAGAGACGAGGCGCCAACATTGGGGTGACAGTTGCCAGATGTATCTGCGGTGATGGCGGACTATGTACCTGGGGAATAACACCTCGATAACCTCTTCCTTGAGGCCAGGCCGCACCTCTCCCACACCTTACACCAGCAGTAGCACTCCGGGCGGGGTTACAGGGGACGTGAAGGGTTAGAGAGAGAGAGAGAGGTGCGGACGGCCGAGGTTCAATATGCAGGCGGCGGCGTAGTGGCAGCAGCGGCGACAGTGGCGGCGGCTCTCCCTCTCTCTCTCTCTCTCACTCACTCTCTGCCTCTCACTCTGACTCTCACAGTGGTGGAGGTGTGAGTGAGAGCGCCGCCAGCAGCAGTAGGGGATGGAGTTCGAGGACTACGAGAGCCTGCCGGTGGGCAGTGTCGGGGTGCACATGACGGCGGGCGCCCTGGCCGGGGTCATGGAGCACTGCCTCATGTTCCCCATCGACTCCGTCAAGGTGCGTCCCTCTAGCCTCCTGGGGGCCAGGGGTCGCCTGGGGGGCACAGACACCACCTTCTGGGGTCACCTGGGGGCCACAGCCACCAACTCCAACCTCCTGGGGCCAGGGGTCGCCTGGGGGGCACAGACACCACCTTCTGGGGTCACCTGGGGGCCACAGCCACCACCTCTAGCCTCCTGGGGGCCAGGGGTCGCCTGGGGGGCACAGACACCACCTCCTGGGGTCACCTGGGGGCCACAGCCACCAACTCCAGCCTCCTGGGGGCCAGGGGTCGCCTGGGGGGCACAGACACCACCTTCTGGGGTCACCTGGGGGCCACAGCCACCACCTCCAGCCTCCTGGGGGCCAGGGGTCGCCTGGGGGGCACAGACACCACCTTCTGGGGTCTCCTGGGGGCCACAGCCACCAACTCCAGCCTCCTGGGGGCCTGGGGTCGCAGACACCACCTTCTGGGGTCACCTGGGGGCCACAACCACCACCCCCAGCCTCCTGGGGGCCTGGGGTCGCCTGGGGGCCACAACCACCACCTCCAGCAGCAGCAGCAGCCTGGGGTTACCCGTGGGGGCCCTGGGGACCTCCTCCAGCCTGGGGTCACTCTGGGCCCCTGGGGACGCCTCGCCACCACCCCTCGGAGGGCCCTCGCCAGGTCTCGCCTCCCCAGCAGGTTATGTCCTGCCTGGAGGCCCTTCAGGTGCCCCAAGTGTGTCGTGGCTGGAGGCCCTCCAGGTGCCCCAAGTGTGTCATGTGAAGGCCCTCCAGGTGCCCCAAGTGTGTCGTAGCTGGAGGCCCTCCAGATTCCCCAAGTGTGTCGTGGCTGGAGGCCCTCCAGGTGCCCCAAGTGTGTCGTGCCTGGAGGCCCTCCAGGTGCCCCAAGTGTGTCGTGTGAAGGCCCTCCAGGTGCCCCAAGTGTGTCGTGGCTGGAGGCCCTCCAGGTGCCCCAAGTGTGTCGTGTGAAGGCCCTCCAGGTGCCCCAAGTGTGTCGTGTGAAGGCCCTCCAGGTGCCCCAAGTGTGTCGTGGCTGGAGGCCCTCCAGATGCCCCAAGTGTGTCGTGGCTGGAGGCCCTCCAGATGCCCCAGGTGTGTCGTGGCTGGAGGCCCTCCAGGTGCCCCAAGTGTGTCGTGTGAAGGCCCTCCAGGTGCCCCAAGTGTGTCGTGTGAAGGCCCTCCAGGTGCCCCAAGTGTGTCGTGTGAAGGCCCTCCAGGTGCCCCAAGTGTGTCGTGTGAAGGCCCTCCAGGTGCCCCAAGTGTGTCGTGTGAAGGCCCTCCAGGTGCCCCAAGTGTGTCGTGTGAAGGCCCTCCAGGTGCCCCAAGTGTGTCGTGGCTGGAGGCCCTCCAGGTGCCCCAAGTGTGTCGTGGCTGGAGGCCCTCCAGGTGCCCCAGGTGTGTCGTGTGAAGGCCCTCCAGGTGCCCCAAGTGTGTCGTGGCTGGAGGCCCTCCAGGTGCCCCAAGTGTGTCGTGGCTGGAGGCCCTCCAGGTGCCCCAGGTGTGTCGTGTGAAGGCCCTCCAGGTGCCCCAAGTGTGTCGTGTGAAGGCCCTCCAGGTGCCCCAAGTGTGTCGTGTGAAGGCCCTCCAGGTGCCCCAAGTGTGTCGTGTGAAGGCCCTCCAGGTGCCCCAAGTGTGTCGTGTGAAGGCCCTCCAGGTGCCCCAAGTGTGTCGTGTGAAGGCCCTCCAGGTGCCCCAAGTGTGTCGTGTGAAGGCCCTCCAGGTGCCCCAAGTGTGTCGTGTGAAGGCCCTCCAGGTGCCCCAAGTGTGTCGTGGCTGGAGGCCCTCCAGATGCCCCAAGTGTGTCGTGGCTGGAGGCCCTCCAGATGCCCCAAGTGTGTCGTGGCTGGAGGCCCTCCAGATGCCCCAGGTGTGTCGTGGCTGGAGGCCCTCCAGGTGCCCCAAGTGTGTCGTGGCTGGAGGCCCTCCAGATGCCCCAGGTGTGTCGTGTGAAGGCCCTCCAAGCCCCCCAAGTGTGTCCCACACCCGCACAGTAAAGGTGGCTTCCCCCACACCTGCAGTTGTATTCGAGAATTCAATATTGCAACATTAACTTCAGTGTGTTTTGGAAAGTTTGTTTTTGATCCAAATATGCGAAGTGATCTCTGACAGATTTTGACCACATAGGCCTATAGTTGTGGAGGCAGAGGAGCAGGCTTGCCTGGTGCTTGAGAGGTTGCTGCAGGCTTGCAACCCCAGGTGTGTGTGGACATGTGTGTAACATATGGCTCTCGCTACCATACAGCAGGCTTGCAATCCCAGGTGTGTGTGGACATGTGTGTAACATATGGCTCTCGCTACCATACAGCAGGCTTGCAATCCCAGGTGTGTGTGGACATGTGTGCAACATATGGCTCTCGCTACCATACAGCAGGCTTGCAACCCCAGGTGTGTGTGGACATGTGTGTAACATATGGCTCTCGCTACCATACAGCAGGCTTGCAACCCCAGGTGTGTGTGGACATGTGTGCAACATATGGCTCTCGCTACCATACAGCAGGCTTGCAACCCCAGGTGTGTGTGGACATGTGTGCAACATATGGCTCTCACTCCCATGCAGCAGGCTTGCAATCCCAGGTGTGTGGACATGTGTGCAACATATGGCTCTCACTACCCTGCAGCTGTTGCATCCTGCAGCCTGGATTAGGCGGGATATGTTGCACAAAATGTTGTGTGTGTGTGCATGACAGGCTTGCAGGCGGGGACAGTGTCATGTCATGTCATGCTGGACACACGATGACGCGCTGATGGACTCTTACCCCTTCCCTGTCTTACCTAACATGACCCACCACCACCCCTACCCTTGCCTCCCACCACCTACCACCACCACCCCTACCCCATAACCCCACCCCTACCCCCCTCCCTACCCTCCACCACCCCTACCCATAACCCCACCCCTACCCACCTCCCTACCCTTCACCACCCCCTACCCTCACCCTTACCACCACCACCACCACCACCCTCACCCATTACACCACCCTTACCACCCCCCTACACCTCTACCATCACCCACACCCCTACCACCACCACTACCCTCACCCATTACACCACCCCTACCATCACCCATTACACCACCCCTACCACCACCCCACACCCCTACCACCACCCCACACTCCTACCACCACCCCACACCCCTACCACCACCACCCCACACCCCTACCACCACCACCCCACACCCCTACCACCACCACCCACACCCCTACCACCACCACCCACACCCCTACCACCACCACCCACACCCCTACCACCACCACCACCCACACCCCTACCACCACCACCACCCACACCCCTACCACCACCACCACCCACACCCCTACCACCACCACCACCCACACCCCTATCACCAACACCCACACCCCTATCACCAACACCCACACCCCTATCACCATCACCCACACCCCTATCACCATCACCCACACCCCTATCACCATCACCCACACCCCTATCACCATCACCCACACCCCTATCACCATCACCCACACCCCTATCACCATCACCCACACCCCTATCACCATCATCCCTACCCCTCTACCCTTACCACCACCCCTACCCACACCACCCCTACCACCACCACCCCTACCCACACCACCCCTACCCACACCCCCGAACTCCAATTGAGACCCGAGACAGCCTAAGACAACCCCTAAGCTAACAATATAAAGAATGCCTGGGAGGATCCACCACACAGGTTCGAACTGTCATCATGGCTCCAAGGGAGATTTTTCTAATACAGTATAAAGAATTTTAACAATTAGAGAATTAACTGTTGAATTGGCTTGTATGCCCCATAGTGAGGTGTGGTCAACAATGACCCCTATCCATGCTGGAGATTAAAGTGTGGCACGTCGACAGTTGTCAGCTGTAAATGTGTACTCGATAAGTCTGGCCGCTGTGTTTAGCTTTGTTACTGATATATTATCGGTAACTTTCCTATGATATCTGATATATTATCTCTCCAATCTGTGAATTGCCCCATGGGCTGTGTGTCCACCTGTGAAGTGCCCCATGCCTGTGTATGTGTGTGTGTGTGGGCTATGAAGTGCCCCATGCCTGTGTGTGTGTGTCTGGGCTATGAAGTGCCCCATGTACTCACCTAATTGTGCTTGTGAAGGTTGAGCTTTGTCTCTTTGGTCCCGGGTTGTGTCATGGTCATGTTTGGTCATGGGTTGTGTGTGTGTGTCACCAATCTGTGAAGTGCCCCATGGGCTGTGTGTGTGTGTGTGGTGAAGTGCCCCATGGGCTGTGTGTGTGTGTGTGTGTGAAGTGCCCCATGGGCTGTGTGTGTGTGTGTGGTGAAGTGCCCCATGGGCTGTGTGTGTGTGTGTGGTGAAGTGCCCCATGGGCTGTGTGTGTGTGTGTGGTGAAGTGCCCCATGGGCTGTGTGTGTGTGTGTGGTGAAGTGCCCCATGGGCTGTGTGTGTGTGTGTTGGTGAAGTGCCCCCATGGGCTGTGTGTGTGTGTGTGTGGTGAAGTGCCCCATGGCATTGTCTTCTAGTTTTGGCATATTTAATGCTTCTAACCTCTCCTCGTAGCTCTTGCCCTTCAGTTCTGGGAGCCACTTAGTAGCATGTCTTTGCACCTTTTCCAGTTTGTTGATGTGCTTCTTAAGATATGGGCACCACACAACAGCTGCATATTCTAGCTTTGGCCTAACAAAAGTCATGAACAATTTCTTTAGTATATCGCCATCCATGTATTTAAATGCAATTCTGAAGTTAGAAAGCATAGCATAGGCTCCTTGCACAATATTCTTTATGTGGTCCTCAGGTGATAGTTTTCTATCTAGAACCACTCCTAGATCTCTTTCTTTATCAGAATTCTTTAAAGATTTCTCACATAATATATAGGTTGTGTGGGGTCTATGTTCTCCTATTCCACATTCCATAACATGACATTTATTAACATTAAATTCCATTTGCCCAACATATGGCTCTCGCTACCATACAGCAGGCTTGCAACCCCCAGGTGTGTGTGGACATGTGTGCAACATATGGCTCTCACTCCCATGCAGCAGG